CAGAGCAGCACCAGTGCAGCGAACGACAATTTGTTATGCGCAGTATTGTTGCGCAGTAGTTTCAGTGACGTCATCATGTGATATACTCATGTAAAATCCACTTGGCGGGCAATATACCATGTAATATCCATTTTTATTCCATGTCATGTGACCGAGTCTCAACCAATCATAGCATGCGTAACAGCAGTGAGATGTGATAATTAAATATAAACCCTGAGATGTACATGTATGAACAGAACACAGGTTTAGCCCACTGATCGGAATATTTGCAATGAATACAGCCTATGTGGACAGATATTGAAAAAATTATCCCATGTATGCATCTCAGAAGAAAGATTTATAACTAAAATATTGTATGTGACATAGAAAAAAAAACAATGGATGCCAGAAAGAATTCAAATAACAAAATGCAGTTAAGTACATTTTGCATATAGAGCATTGGATTAGACAAAATCAATGGCACATCAAAAGAATTTGAATGACAATTGCTGTAAGATAGGAATCATTGGTCGGAAAGATACTGGAAATTCCTCTGTACAATAAAATGAGAAAGGGTCATGTTAAACCCACCTTAGCATGGCAACACAATGACTGATACTGATACCTGTGTATTCTTGTGTTTCCAATTTCATGGCATACATGCAGCAGACATGCTTTTCTGTTCTTCAGTGTCTTAACTAATTGTATTTTATCATCCCTATCCTCGTGGGCGGAGCTACGTCACAAGTCATTCCACCACTGTACATGCATTTCTATGGGCTCTGTGCGCGCTGCTGTGGAACGTCGGTCGAGCCAGTGATAATTTGAGAAAACAACACAAACTCAACTTTAAAGTAATCCTGAACAACCAAATTTATATATGTTACACACGCAGAGCTAATCTTGTTACACTATTCAGGGGAGTCTCAACAACCATCGCAAAGTACCGTTTCTGCGTGTTTTTACTTTTGTTTTCACCGCGAGGGTTGCCAGGCGGTAGATAATGCCCGGATGTCCGCCCCCAAGAATAAGAACATTTTTTTGAGTGTGCTTTTGCTTTTATAGTAGATAAAATATTTTCAGTTCAGTTTGTTTGTAAATTTGTTTGTTGATGAGAAGACATTAAATACTGCATGCAGCATCATTGTTGTTGTAATCCACTTTTCATTCAAATCTTTTTACCTAGAATTTATACTGTAATGTTTCAATGTTTTTTCCTTATTTTAGATCACGGAAGAGAGATTCAGATCTCAGCTGGTTTCAGACATTATACACCAAGTGAAGGAACACCATTGTTTAACCTCATAGAAGACATTGAAGAAAAACCAGTAGCAACACCTTAGTAAGTACCACAACATGGAATGTCACAATCCTTTATATGGGAATGCTATGGAATGATCTGTTTGTTCATCCCTGCACATACCATCCATGCACACCACAGAAAAGTTCTACATATTTACATGGTTTGTGTTTTGAGATGTGTATGTGCGGTTTAGACTTGACAGTTGGATCATGAAAAAATCAGAACAGAAAGGAGTATAAATATATATTTATAAATGACACTTGCACCTTTTATAAAAGATATTAGAAATATTGTAACCTCAAATTGTAGAAAGTGTAGATATTTGTGGAGCCAACACCATTTTACTTGAAACTCAACATTGGTGTGAATCTGAAGGTGATGTATTCCCAATTGGCCGATGGTGGAACAAATGATACTTACCAGTCACTGCAAAAATTCAATTCACTACAGAAGGTTAAATGCACAACAGTAAATTGCTAAGAATTGTTCATCAAGTTTATGAATATGACAATAAAGTTAAATCATAACATACCAATTAATAAAGAATATTATAATAGATGAAAACAATCAATATGTAAACAAAAATTGAACTCGTCCCATTTTTCAGTTCTCTGTAAAAAATCCAGTTTTATGTCCATACAATATTAATATTAGTGTACACTGTACCAGTATTTGTCTATAATATATTTTAAAATTCATACAGTGATTATAATATTGTCAACTATCCACTGACTGAGTTGGGAAGCATGAAATTGGATGAGCGCCCTCTATCACCCGGTGCTGTTACCAAATCAGCTTCAAATCTAGGTGAGAGTTCAACTGCAGTTGAAGAAGAGGTTGCAGAGAATGGTGAGGTGGAAGAAAAGCCAACAGGTATGTATTTATAGATTATTAATTTAAAAACCTGAAATGTCATTATAATAACCTGGAATGTCACTATAATAACCTGGAATGTCACTATATAAACTGAAATGTCACTATATAAACTGAAACGTATAATTAAAAGCATTATTTTTTGCTACATTTTAATAATTGATTTCTAAGATGTATCAAAGTTTATGCTTAAGAATGGACTGGACTTCTTTGAACACAGGGATAGCATACTGAATAATCATGATGCCATTATGATATATCATGCAGTCGTGTCATGTTTATTCAAACACCAAATATGGTCCATGTGGCAAACATACTACTGGTTTGCTCTACACCAACAATTGCATTTATTGTATGCTGGATCATTACAAAATCACAACAATAATCTGAATTAATTTGTTATACAGAAAACATTGTAGAAGAGAAAACTGAGGAGACAGTGGCAGCAACCATGACTGAAGGAGAAGGAGGTGAAATAGATGTTTCTATACCGACTGAAGGTATGTATATTTATACCTCACCAGTTCAAACCAAACGCACGCCTGACAGAACAATGTAGTTTTTCACTTCCCCAACAATTTGTTGTCGGTGCCAATCAAATTGCAGTAACGTCAGATAGTGACAGCCATCAAAGAGTAACCATTCATGGCAGTTTATTTGTTGATATAATGTGAGTTGCGCCCTCCGCACGGTGTTAGCATGACCAGCAAAATGAATATTCATTGGAACTCACTCAAGAAGGCGTGAACTTTGCACATTTGCAATATTGATCTTGCAAGGTGACCAATTAAAAATTACCACATTTGTTGACCCACACTAAAAAACAAACACCTCGTTTCAGTCAAGAAACCACCTTTAACACAGGAATTCAACAAATTACAACTATCCATGCATGTACGGTATTTTATACAAGAAATATTCAAAATATTACAGAAAAACTATTTGTAAAATGAAACATTTCCAATGTCAAAAACATAACAAACAAATGAAAGTTCAGTTCATTAGACATCAGAATTATTTCACAGATTCAATGGAAGTCTGTCATTCTTGCCATAATTTCCGATGGGCATGACGAAAGTTATTACCTCTCTTCTTTTTCTACCAAACCACGTCCCCTTTTGACGATAAGCGTTTTACTAAATCATTTATTTATATCTCGACCAAGCAATACTAACCTTTAACATATAATAGGATGAAATAAATTAAAAGGGATATGTTTCTTCTATTGATACTCAATATGACCTTCAGTATTAGTTTGAAGTCAATCTGTTGATGTTGCCGAAAAACTCAACATTTATGTATCAAAAGCCCAACCAGATGAGGGTAATCGCTAGCGTACATAATAATGCCCCCGTGGAAATGTATTTGGAATCACAGCTTGATCTCTAAACATAATAAATGGCACATTTCCCGGAGCTCCCGTCACGATGTGAGCGGCTTGTTTTGAATTAGCATACTTATTGCGGTGGCCATACTATAAACTTAGTTTTACAACCCTAATGATTTTCACGAATTGTGCTTTAATAACCATGACATGTATAACAACTTATCACCTTTGTGATGTATATTATGAGGTTATTACAAGAATGCTGCCAAGTACAAACAATGTATGCATGAAGGCAGTATTGTGATTGCATCGACTTGAAGCATAGACAAAGTCAATGTGATTCCATACTGCCTTTATGTATACTTTGCGGTATACTTGCGATATATTTATTGTTATACATTCTTTTCCCTGATTGTTGTAATAATTCAATTCAAGATACCAGCCCGAACTGGCAATGAAGAACGTTTTGCGCTGCATGAATATGTGATTCAGTCAGTGACAAGATTCTATTTCCATCTATTGCTTCTTCGTCTGAAGTAAACAAAATCAAAAGTGTAAAACGTAAACGTGATGTGGAATTTCCAAAAAGGGTAGATATTAATTAACGCGTCTGTAACACTTTCGAACATGGCGGTATTTTATGGACAGGTAAAATTCTAATGTTTTTGATATCAGATGTATGATAATTTTTATTTCAACCGCCAGGTGATGAAGAAAAAGCAACATCTCCTCGTCAGCAGTTGGAGCTGCCAGAGCAAGAGACACCGGTGCCACCTCCAGTCAACACACTTAGAAGTGAAGATGGTAAAGTGGACTTTAAGGTAAGTAAAATAATTACTGTGCTAAAATTCAAATTGCACTATGTCATTTTACTGATAGGATATTTTCAACTTATTTTTTTACATTTTACATTAGCCAAGGTTATCATAAGTAACTATCAGTCTTTCTCTTAATCCTGATCACATTGTTTTTCCCGATTCGCAAGGATGTAAGCGACTAGCATGTTAACATTCAGAAAGTTTAAAAACACTATAAATTCTCCATATTTTGCTGAGTATGTAAGGTTACATACATGTCTATTGATTATTCACTGGGTTGCAATTACTTTCGCTATTAAGAAAAATGAAATGCACATGACCATATATAGAATAACAATAGAACATTGTTTTCTTGACAAATTCAGGAACCTAAAACCCAGTGAATATGTTTAAAACATCAAAATAGTGTAATTAAATGTCGGTGAAAATAACTGTTTTTATAGTAAATTTAAAAAAAAACAAATAAGGTAATGGGTATCCCGGTACACAAAATTATTTTCAAGGAAACAGTGACTCGCTAATGTAGTTTTGAAATAGCCAGCAATATGCAATATGTGTGCATCACAGCTTCTTTATCATTTTTTGTCAGAACTTTAAAAAAAAAAAAAAAAAAAATCTAATAAAAGCAAAGTTTTTATGACAATTTTATAGTAAAAAAACAAACAAATTGAAATTCTTTTTATATTTTTCTTGGACTTTGATGAAGTTGATAAAAATCTTCAAAATAATTTACCGGTAGTATTTTTATTTTGTCAATGACATAAGTCAATTGTGTAGTTATCAGATACTGATTTAAGATTTGTTTGATACAGATTTGAACTCCTGGCCTCATCAGTTGTCTACAGTAAGTGTTGTAAATTTCATATCAAAATGTTACTAACATAAACTTGGCGATACCATTGTTTAAGAAGAACAAAAAGAGTCTAAGAGTGACTCAGTTCTCTATTTTGCAACTGTATTTTGGAGGGGACACTAGTCATGATAATTATTTTTGTTGATGTTGTTATCAATGTTTTCTCTCCAGAAAAATAGCATGGTGTATCATACCTACTGATTTGCATAATAATGGAATATGTAAATTGCATATTCATTGTTATGATGATTAAGCTCTATTGGAACTTCTGCTTTTTAATGATCTGGGTAGAACCCTGGTTATATTTGCATTACACTCTTCTTCTAGGACCTTGTATTACCAGGTCCACCAACGAGTTATCGACCATTCTCTATCATGGAGGAAGAAGAAAATTTACAGAAAGCATCTAAAAGTAAACTCAAACGCAAAAAGAGCACAAGGAGCTTAGGCGAAGGTGGGGTAGTCATCAGTGTGAATGAATGTGAAAGATATGATAAATGAAACCATAGGACACTTATCATTGTACAACTTGTTACTATCTGGTGTGTAAATTCCACTGAGGACGTTGTAATGGAGGCAACGTATCATGTTTTCTCAATTAGAAGCGTAATATACCGATAGTCGTATGTAGGAAAACAAATTTTATACTGGTGGGATTTGAAGTTTACCACCCTAGCACTGATTCGTTTATTCACATTTTTGTTACAGGTCGTTTATGTATTTAAGTTCATGCGCTTCTATTAGAGTAAATATGATACTTGGAAAATATTATTCTTTTGACTACATCTCCAACAAAAGCCTACCTAACCTGTAAATTGATTTGATAGGTATTTCCTTACTTGTGTAGAGAGTAATATTACTTTTTCTGACTGATACCAGTGAAGTTTTCCTACTGGTTTTATTCATAGAGTTTCGGTTCATATTTAAATTGGAGTCCATATACGTTTCCTTCCTACATTGTGTATGTTACTAAATTGTGCAAAGTTAAGGGGTCCTATGCAAATCATTTATCATAATACTGAATTATTGCGTAGTGTGCTGATATTAATATTTGTTATTACTTTACTATACCTTGCATCCTCTCTAGGATTTAGTACTCCCTCCTGCACCCCAGGGATACATCCCCTTCACAATTATGGATCAACTTGAAGAAGAAAATCGTAATATAACCCGCGGAAAAACCACCAACTTGGTGGCTGCACTCAAGCTGGGAGCCAAAACGGGCCGAAGTATAGGTGAAGTAGTCACCCCTATGGAGCCATGTAAATGGCGCCCTCTCTGGCATATATTAGTCTAGGGACACTGCATGAGGGTTGCATGGTTGTCACGCCAACTGGCTAGGTTTGTTCATAGAATGCAGCTTGTACATCGTTCAAGAACTGATATTTTTTATAAATTATTTTAGACTGCATTGGATGTCATCTTAAATTTTCTTTTCTGGAGTCTGACATTTATAAAAAATATATTATAAATCTCTTCCATTTTGATTCTATATTAATGACTGCACATTGAATGTATTTGCCTGCACTATATAACATTATAAATAATGAATATTTTAAACTGCATGGGAATTACATATTTCAGTAATGGCCAACTTGTTTATTGTGTAAATTCTCATTACCTAGTTCCAATGTGTGCACTCAAGTGATAATTTATGATCATAGACCAAAGATGAATGAATGCGTTTCAATTCCAGTTTAGATAGTACTTCTAAACGGTATGTAGTACTAATTATCTGAAAAAAATGTTCTATGCATGAGTATTGGAATTCTATTTTAAAATGATAAAAAGTATCCCTTTTTGAAAATAGACCTCTAATAATGAAGTTAAAAGACAGACACATAAAGGGTAGTGTTCTTTGTTTCTGTTGGTCTTTTCACACCCACTTTGAAAATAACAATAACATTTTGTTATTCACAATTCATTCGGATCTAACCATGAAATTTGAGGATTCCTTTATGCCTGTATCATAGTTGTCATGTTGAGTGCCCATCAATTGGAATGTATTGTGCACAAAATACTGTAAGTATAACACAGGGTGGTATATAAATTAATAAACGCTGCTCGGACTGATAAATATGATATATTGAAGATAATATTTGGTAATTGTAGTCCTAAATATTATCTTCTATATATCATAACACAGGGTGGTACATTTTATTACATTTAAACCATTGAGTGAAGTGGGAGAAATGTGTTTACCTTTAAATTAGGGATATAACTTGAGAATGGTCTTGTACTATATTGGCTCTATTAGACTGCATGTAAATTCCCTGCTTCAATACTGTAAAATACTTTATTTTAGCTGGAATTAATTTTCGCAAAAAAAAACAGTTTTTGGCTTTTTTATTTTTACTGAAATTTGATGAGTTGAATATAAAAAATAAAAAAAAGGTATTTTCACTTGATTTTTTTCCATAGATTTACCCCTTTTAGTGAGAATAAATCCCAAGTGAAAATTAAGTAACTTTACAGTACTTTTCAAAACACAATTTTGATCTGAACTGATGAAATTCTGTGAAGGTTATTGTGACCCAAATGTACTCACAAATATGAAATTATGCTTTCTGGTCGGCATTCTTCTTTACGACTTCATACTCTACAAATCTGTGAAGATAGCATCCCCTTACTATATACATCTACTCCATAGAATGTTGAGTTTGGGGTGGATGATGAAAAACTAACTATAATCAACTTATAAGAGGCAGCTTCTAATAGAGCAAATATGGTAGTGATATAAGTATAATGCACGCATAATATAGCTGTATATGTTTGTGGTTTCCATAGTAATGTGTATGACTCTTGTGTGTTGATGGACAATCCCACAGTCATTTTCTGAATTTTAGAAATCTGCCTCAAACTATTTATATTTAGCCAATTTGTCATTTATTCTTCATCTGTATATACGAGTTGATGAGAGAACGGACCTTACTAATATATACATGTCTTTTAAGTCGTTTTTAGCAAAATTTAAATTTTACCTACTGTGCATGTTACTGCACATATATTCAATGCATTATGGGAGAAAAATATGTACTATATGTAAAAGAACAAATATTATGACTGAAAGCTCACTAAATTAAATGTTTTGACAATATTTTGATTCATATAAATAATAATATACAACTTTTTCATCTCATGTCACTGAGTAAAATATCTCACCATAGAAACTTGTATAATAATGAAACTATCAAGATTATGATTTATCAACATCATTTCAACTTTAAGTGAAAACACCTAGTATATTGATAAGATTTACATGCTCGACTGCTGTAATTCTGTTGTACAACATGGTGAAAGTAGCTATATGAAGCAGTGAAACTGGTACATGCTAACTTCTGCTTGATTGTCTCGAGCTCCACGTGTAATCAGAAATGTCTTTCATAGTTTTGATGAATGTAATGAAAATGTTTGCCTCGAGTAATATCATTTTCTGATAGTACATGTTGGTTTAGATGCAGCCATCTCAGGCTCCTAGGTGATAGTGTTTAAAAATGTTCAAGCACCAAAAGAGTTGTACAATTACCATAATGGGGTCAAGTTTGTTCAATAAATGAGGTATAAACTAAAAAATTATAAATCACAAATAAATAACTTTATAATATTAGTAATCTGGAAAATGTTTAAGTCTCACTAAATTGTTAAATAATGGAGAAGGACGGTAGTGAGAAAATTTATGATTAACAGAAATATCACACTTGTGTGTTTCCATGCCTCATTTATTTTTGGACTATATCCAAGAGCACCCTTTTCTATAACTTTTGATTTTGTGGCAAATACTATTTAGTAAATCCAAAGTGTATGTAGTGTGAATGATATATTCCATAATTCTGAAGAAACGTCCCTGTAACTATTCAGCAAGTTACATTTCAATTGGAGAAATGTGCTCTTAGATCTACTAACAAATTGTTTATTCTGTGATTTGTATTTCTCACTGCCATACTTTAAATGTGATGATAGTTGACACCAAGGTTTATTGTCAATGCACAGTTAAGTTTGTTAAACCACTAACAACTGTGACTAAATTATTTTGAAGTAAAAAATACTTGAGAAAAAATGTTATTTTAAAAATATTGTAGATGACCAAGTGACTCTCATGCTAGTGGTACCTATACAGTCAGATGATGGACCGCTTACATTGCCCCTCTGAGTGGTGTGCTGCATGCCTTGCACGCCTCCACCTACTCTTGTCTCCTTATATGGTAAACTAATGCATGTAACCATGGAGATATGTAGATAATGCATGAGGTGATACCATATTTGGTTGTGGGTGTGGTCTTTGTATGTCCTGTGTATATATATATACGTAACTGCACTGATTTGATGTCATAGTGACCCTCACCCCAGCACTATGTTATTGTCCCTAATAATGATTATACAGTGATGATGGTTATTATAAATGTTGGTTCTGTGGATGATTTCATTCTCCTGCCTGTGGCTGACCTGACCTGACCTGATATGACCTGTCAGTTTGTGTTACCACATTCTCATCCCAATTACCCCATTCATTCATTTTACCCATCATTCATTTAACAGCACTTCATGTCATTGCAGTTCATGTGCTTTTGTGTCTGATGTTATTGATAATAATTTTATTTGTGGAAGCTGTACTGTCACAATGATTATTAATTGAAAATTATGATGATCAATATTTGCCTTTGAGATAACTATTATAAAACTGAACTAAGTCCCACTTCCTACTGATATCATTTGGAAAATTGCCATTACTTATATTGCCTTTCATATTAACACATGGACAGCTTGAAATGGTGGTTGTCTGCGTTGATGGCGTTGATAACTGTGCTTAAGTACAGCTTCTATTATTAAGAGTGGTTATGTTTCATTGGTGTTTAACAACACTTACCATGGAAATACAGTATTCTGGGGGTGTGTGCATCCATTGCAGTTCAAATCCCAGCACTATACGTATATAGATTTATCAAAACTGGTCCTATTATCTGTCATTTATATCTGTGTAGGGATATCAATAGTTAAAAATACTCTAGTCCAAGCTCTCCAAACATTAGATTTTATTACTGGACTACTCATTTCGGTATTAAGGTTCATCAAACCTATGAAAATTGTTATCAGAATTTACAGTTACTACTGGTTAGTCATGAAGTTATTTTTCGTAAATTTACCAAACTGCCTCCGAAATATAATCTCATTTGGATTGAATAAAGCGATCATCATTGCGCATATTAATGCTTATGCTGAAAATAAAACAATAATTGTTCAAATTGTTCGTTATTCTAGTATATTTGTCTGTAATTGTTTATGGTTTATATTCTGGACTAATATTTATTTGTCACTAGTCAAATTTCACCCCCCTAGATGTTGTTATAAGTAGGCATCGGAAACCATTCTCACAGTTCCCATTGCCTGCAACCATCTTTTGAACTATCCTAAAGGTGGCTACTGTAGTTTTACTTACATAGAGTGGCTTGAACATTTAGTACATTTTACCATACGTTTGATTGTAAATAAAGAACTACTTGCAATTGGGATTAGTACAATATTTAGTCGTCCATGCCTCCCATTGCCCAGTACGTTCATCACATCCATCCTAACCCACTGCCATATTTCACTGGGTGGTGTGAATAATGTATTCATGTATATATAACCCATTGCATGTATGATGTCATTGTATTTTCTTTTTATTGAATGTTTACACTCATTTGCATGTATGCATGTCTCCTAACCTATTGATCGAATCGATTGCTTGGACCATGTAACCACCACATGGGGGATGGTAAGAGTTATACACTCTCATTTGTACGCTTGCCATCAACTTGCTGTTGTCATTTCTATGTGTGTGTGTTGTAACCTATTTCACTGCATGTGTTGATTTATAAATGTCCTCAGTATAACCTACTATGCATCGGCTGACATTTTTATACCATGGAACTCCACTTAACTGTGACATCATCTCCCTCCTTCCATCAATTCATCTTTTTAGATATTCATTGTGTTTTATTTTCTATTACATTTCGATCAAAATTGTCAACCCAATGGTGAACTATTTTTCACCTAAAATTAGAAAAGAAAATGTTTATAAAATACCAAAAAACTACACTTAGTATAGTTTGATGCTGCTGTCTAGTATGACTGTCTTCAAGAGTAAATAGTGTTTGGTAGCATGTTGTAGGATTTTCAGTAATTCAATATACCCGGTAGTTATTAATAGATCTTAGATGTAAATAGCCACCAAGTTTATGTTGAGAGAATAAGAAAACCATGTGACTCCAACAAATAAGTGTTCCAATCTCTCACGTCATCATGCCCCCTGTTTCCCTGATCTCTGTAGCTATAACACTTTGAAATGGTAGATGTGACAACAGGAGAGGATGGAAAACTATTTAAGAGAATATTTAAGTGTGGTTCTCTTGTTCTCAACAACGTCGTAGTGGCCATTTACATCTGAGGTTTAGTCAGTGAAAGGTCTACTAGTATTAACATAGCTAAATTTATTATGTCATTAATTCATACATTGAGCCAAATTTCCGAAAATAAATGCATGATGTGCATGAATTCTAAACAACTACTTGACCAAACTGAAATCCTGGCTTCCCCCATCCCTTCTTATTGTCAGTTGTATCTCTAGATTGTGTGTCTTAACAGTTTTCCAGTGTCATTATCAGCAGTGTTCTCATTTTCTGTTAATTCTCTTTCAGTGCATGGTGTGACTGTTCACTTTCATTTCAGTGCATGAAAAATAATTTAAATTCTCTCAATCATTCATTGTTCTGTTTCATTTCTTTTTTCTCACATTCTTTCTATTCTGTCGTGACATCATCATCTTCTCATAGTGTCAGACGATACTGAATCTATCGATTCCATAGATGACTGTAGCCAAGGTAACCGGTCATGTGACCTCATCTCCAGCCTCTAAACCCAAAAGCTACATAAAGCTCACCTAAACAGATGAAGAAAAGATAATCTTTGTTCAACTGATTTCCTTTCAAATGAATTCTGTCAAAAACATGATGAGAACATTATTGTAGAGCAATCCATGTAATTTAAAATATTTTCTGATTTAAAATATAACGGTTATAAAAACCTAGCTGTACTTACCACAATTATAAATTCTCTTTAATGAAGAAAAAATGGATAACTTTTACATATTTTTGAGTATGTTTGAAGATTTTTGTTTGAATATTTGTGTTTTTGTATTTAATAAGATCATTCGATATCACCACTAGATTTATGTTTATCAGTGTTTAACATTAATTAAATAATGATTTTAAACAAATGCATTAAAGGTTGATTTAGATCATTCAACAAAACATAAAACAGGCATTTCTTCATTCTACCTAACGTGGCTGACTTTATTGGTATGTTTTGACAGCAGTCAGTGCTGTATTTGATACAATGAGACGATATTGCATTCACATTAATTCAGTGTATTGTACTGCGTTTGCAGCAGAATCATTCATTTTTTTTATTTTACGATAAATCATATTTTATTGTTCAATATTCAAAATATGCTCGAAAAAATTCAGTTATCCATATTGTCTCGTTAAACGTTTCCACTCGATTTATAACTTTGTTGTTTTTCGTTAATTGGATGTGCTTATTTAAAAAAAAACAAAAAACTGAAAATCTGTTTAGCAGATTCCATTAAATTAAACCTCTAAATGAGTATGCAAAGTACGGTCGTAAAATATCATGCCATACTGTCGGATACCTTGACTTCAAAAACAAGTTGTCACTAATTTTAATAGCTGTTTTGACAATACATCATGTTTTTGAGCTTCATTGCCATATTGGTTACCAGTTGACAGGGAGAATTTGTTCATCTGTATCTTCCCCTTGCTACTAATCCATATGGAGTATCTGTAAACAAATCATCACTATCCCATCAATCCTAATACACTATGTATATCTATATATCACGTATCTGTTATGTTACCATCATTACCAAATAGCACTAGTAATAGTTCAACTAATATATTTATGGTGGTAAAGGTATTGTATTTAAATGGTATAAACGGTATAATAGATATGTAAATAGCAAATATTACTGTCTAAGTAGTAATTTAATTATCTAAATGTGATGTTATCTACAGGCATTGATACTAGATGTTGTTTTCTAATATAATACATGAACTGAATTTGTTACCAATATTTGCATGTTTTTTGGTCCATGACATAGTTGTGCGTTTCAAAAATGAACCTTGTGGTACCTAATCTTGTAGTTGATTGAAATGTTACATGGCACAGATTTCTAAATATTACTTAAATTTGACATTAATATTATAATTTTATAATAAATGTAAATTTTTATGATGTGCAGATGTTACACATGTAAACAACACTTTGAAAGTGAGAAGTTTAATTTTGTTTTGAATTAAATTAATTCACAGCTGTTTTCCTACCTTTTACATAAGTATATAGATCTTGTGGCCCATGTTTCCTCATTTGGTTTTGTAGTACATGGGTTAAAAATACTTTAAAAAAATTTAAATTAATGCAGCTCATTCATTCACTTTTAACCAATTACAAAGTATTGTCAGCCAACAATAATGTTTTTTACAAATGATAAAAACATTTATAAATTGTGTGAAACTTTGGTTTTCTGACACAAATAAAATCTTTATTTTTTCTATGCACTTTATTAGAAGCATAGTCAGCATTTCTGGAAAAGTTGATAAAATAAAAACTTTAAACAAAACTATAGTTTTGATAAAATAATCCAAATCTTCTGAAAATGTCAGTATGTTAATTGAACCATATCTATGGAGTTAAAAGTGTTGGTGGTTTCACATATTCAAGGACTCCTTGTTGAATTATTTTTCTGTAAAAACAAATCTGATTGTTGATCCAAGCTCATTCAGTTTTCCTAGCTATTTGTACTTTTAAAACATCTAGTATCAATGCACAGAAACATAAGCTATCAACTAAATGTTTATGTTATAATACTTTTTGTTTTGTTTTTTATGAATGTTAGATACTGATAATATAGACCCTTCAAAGCTTGAGAACAAAGAGACTGCTAAAGCTGATGCCAGACTAGCCAAACAAAGACGAGAAAAACTATACGGTGATGAGAGATTTGCAAGACCGGGTAAGATTTGTTATTACACCACATTCACTTTTATCGCAATCCAGGACCATATGCAGTTTCTGTGTAGACTATAAGTTTTTGGTTTCTCATAATTTGAAGGTTACAATATATTAACCCTGTGTAAATTTATCAGAATTTTGAGACCAGTGAATAACATATTTTACAGTATGAATATGCCACATTGTGAGACATACAGTATTCATACTTTATCAAGCTACTGGGAAATTATGAATTATATATTTGTGTATTCTGAACACAGTATAACCCTTCAGTCTCAAAAGTTAATTTTTATTTTCTTTCACAAAGTAAACCCCAAAAATGTTTCTCCTATTTGTTTTCAAAACTGTTGATCAATAGCTGTAGGTAATTGGAAATTATTTTTTTTTTGGGTTCTAAATATGCTAAATATTCTATTCAAATTTTGACTGGAATAATTATAGTGTTCAGAAAATGTAACTCAGAAAGTTTGAATAATATGAGGTTATTACGAGGATACCTCAAAGTATGCACGAAGCCAGTGCAGCAGAGGTCGATGCAACTGTGTACTGTCTGAGTACATACTTTGAGGTACTCTTGTAATAACCTTAATGTTATAAATCTTTTCCTTCCAAGGATACATCATTGGAATGCCGAAATCCAAAAACTCTATAACAGAATCAGCAAACTTCTTTGTGTGGAGTCCGGTCAAACCCTGGTGGCAGCCATGTTTGTTTTTATTATTAGAGAAAGCTTAATGTATATTTGGAATTCACATTTCCTGATATGGTAGGATGAAAATACCCCATAAAACACTGCAAAATTACAGCACGCTGTAACTTATGGCGTTACAGTGACAGATGTATAATAAAACCCTTGAATACAAATGGCCGTCGCGATGTCATAGAGAGCAAAAGAACCTCAAGACTTATTTTTGTTACTAAAATAGTCTTCCATTCTCTCTCATTATTGTGTCTGCTGTTTTCCTGAGCTATATAGCCATAGCATTTGGAATGCTGAACACGATGACGAGAGGGAATGGCTTTCTTGCTTTCAACATACTTGGTAATTCCAGTGGCCATTTGCATCTTAGGTCTATTGTTGAAATCACGTTGGAAGTAAACTTCCTCAGTTGCCATATACATTAAAAAGTACTGTCCTGAAATCTAAACATTAACAACTTAACCTGTTCTAAATTGTTCATATAACTTAAAAATATGTTATATTTGTCACCAAAATCCCACTTGACAATTTTCATTGAACTTTTTTTCAAAATTTTAGCAATTCATTTGATTTACTCTTCACTGCACCATCTCTGTAGTGTGGAATAAGTTGGTTTATGTACAAAAATCACTCCACGTCCAAGGCCTTAGTAAAAATACGTTTTTGGACCATGGATATGTGTTAATTTTATACCAAGGTTATGATCACTGTCAAGGTTACACTGTAGTAATAATTTTATACATGATTTACTACTTGCTCCACACACATGACATCTTGTTTGCTTTATTTTTAAATTAGTTTCTGATTTATTATTGTTTCATCTCAATACCATATGGTAATGGCAATGTTGTATTCAAGGTGAATTTAACCTGTTTTGTAGCGACAGGCTGCTCTATTGCCTCATGTTCATCTTGTTTGTTTGTATTTTGATTATTTGTTTGTAAAATGATAAAATTGTTTTAGTACCGTATATTTCAAATATTTTTCTTATCAGTGGAGTAAATCTGATAAAAAAAAAAGATTTATGTGAACTATTTATTTATCTATGTCTTTTGTTTTTAATTTCATGAATTTATAATTTGAAGGCAACATTTTACGATAGTTAATGCAACTCCCTAGGATTCAGTGAAAGTCACCGTGACCCCTCAGTAAAAAATCACTGCATTTCACTGTTTTGATCAAGAATTCAAATGAAACATCATTTCATTGTTGCAAAATGTTTTTTCAGACTCACAAAGTGTGCAAAATTAGAGCACTTCATTCAACAATTTTGTACTTCATTTTATAGTATTAAAAATACATTAACATTAAATTCACCAAAAAATTAAAATAAACTCTCTTTCTATCTCTTTCACTATTTGATGTAGGGGAGTATGTGATCATGGTACAGGATGTGACTACACCACCTTTTCTTGGCAAGACTCTTACACCAGCATTTATGCTTGTCAGAATAACCAATGCCCTGGAGAAGAAACCAGCAAAGAAAGCAAGGAGCTCAACCAAACGAAATAAACCTCAAGACAAGACATAACAAAATGTGTATTAAACTGGCACTACATGACCCCAGTGATCTGACTTGCAACTTTTTTGTTTTTTATTTGAATCAAAATGTGAGAAAAACCTAGTACATGCATGAACTTTGAAATTAGTTTATTTGGAAACTGAAAACCACCTCAATGTAGAAATGACAATCTCAGTCGTTTTTCAAATCTTGTGGTCATTAAATCTTGCCACTTTGAAAACCCATTTACCATGGCAAATTAAGACCGTTTGTTACAAAAGTATAAAGAAATTATGTTGAGCACATCTCTTTACAACGAGAAAAAATAAATACATAAAAATAATACTATACATGATGAATTTCACAGTTGAAAATGTTAAAATGATGCTTTCATATAAACACACGGTAATGATGTAGTGCTACATATATATTGCTTTGGTTATCCGTCCAAAAATACTCCACTTTTTTTTGGTGAACATGTACACACAAATATTTATAATTCCTTGATAATTATTTATTATCTATCGCTGTCTGGACAGGATATCATGTTTCTTCAACTTCAAATGGCACTCACTTCTGGGCATGACTATATGTCTAATCCAGATGGTGAAACTGCAGTATAAAAAGACCCTTACAGTTTTTGTGATACAGTTGATATTAGACATCCCAATTCCTCCAAAAATTGTTATGATTATTACCACCTTACATTGACAGTTAAGCATGACATCTAAAATATGTGAGATTATGTTTGTACAAGTACAGCACTCGTCTCCTTGCAAAGGTTGTATGTGCCCACAGTTGTGGTTACTTGTATATTATAAAAGTAAAAACAAATGAATACAGCACCTGTATTATATTTTAAGAATCCCCATGACATACGTCTGGGAGGATTGTTTACAGATATGTATATAACATTTTGCAAACAATTAGTATGTCATTGAACTGTAATATCTAAAAAGTTTTATTTCCATCATTTTCCTTTTTATCATTAAACGTTGAATAATGTTGAATGAGATTATTGTATATTCCTTGTAACTATATATTGTCATATAAAATATATTTGAAAATTATAAAATTGTATTTTAATATTGTTGTTAGAGAGAGAGAGAGAGAGAGGCCCTGTTCACACATGTTATAAATATAAATGTGACTTTAATGATTAAAACTCTGGTGGACTTTTTAGATATGTTATTTGAGGTATTGGATCTGAGTAATAAACTGTCAAATTGGTTTGTCAAAGAAATTATACCTGATATAATTTATTTTTATTCTGTCTTACAATTATAAATTACAAACATACAGTGTGACTTTAATTCTAGAAGATTTTTCTCATTGCTGACCATTTTGTTAAATGTGTGTGATTGTCTAGTCACTGTTGTGATGAAATTGAACCTTTTTCTCTGATAGTCCCAGGAAAGGTGAAGTTTGTTGTTGAAAGATCCTGCCTTGGTTCATTCTGTGATACTCTGTTTTACTTATTCACCCATAACATTTTAACACACAATGCTGACAATAAATCACACGTTGTGATTTTCCAGTGTGAATAATTATAATTAAATGCTGCTCATAAAAAATATGGCTGTTCAATTGTTACCTCTAAATAGTGCTTGTTGTTGAATAGCAATGAACCATATGGTTGAGTAGTAATTTGTTCTATTTTTGCATTATTTGGAGTTTAAAATGGTGTGATATTGGAAAAGAGAAATGTCATCAGCTCCTATTGATTATATTATTATATATTAATTTAATCCAAGATTATTTCTTATGGAAGTGTCAATCAAATCTGGGACAAATCAGTCATACTTTGATGCAAGATATTTGTGACAGCTTTCAGTTTCCAGAAAATATGTGGAATTATGGGAATGCTCATACACAAGTCTGGACCACATACTAGTACGAATAAAACTAGTAACTCGATTTTGCTTTCCATTGCTCTGTTATTTGTGATGTCAGTGCAACAGGAAAATATAATTGATTATTGTCCTGTGACGTCATATATGGTTATGTGTACTTGCCATATGTGTTGTAATGAAGGCGTTTATTCAAGGGTAATCAACGTACAGATAGCTGTTATAATACAATTATCAAGTGCATCATGACAAAGACTAGATCTAGATCAAGAAAAGGGAACTCACCTGACTCAATTTCAATGAAAAAAATGTTGTGGTTTAAGAGTAAACGTGAATGAATGAATACTATATAATATATGTCTTTTATTGAACGTTATTTGTGTAGCTGAATGTGATTTATATAATTAATCTATACAAGGAATATTTTCACATAAATTTTGGAGTACATAACGTTTTAGTGGATATTGATTGACAGCCGTTAGCAAACAGTACGGTCAATATTGCATAAAAGTGGTTATTATGCAAATTAGCAAATCTAAGCACCCGACAAAGTAATCATTCACCGTACATTTTAAATACCCGTTTACCCTTTCCCCTAAACTAGTGTCTGAATTTGTTTATATATTAAACAATATGAATTGAACGTAAAGCCATTTATGTTAGTGCCATTTATACAAAACTTCAGGATATCCAATTTTCTATCAAAACGACGGTCAATACGAACTATTCCCGATCTAGATTTTATCTTTGTGAAACAATCTTTTCAATTACACCAGTTAGCAAAGAATCGAATAAAAATGTTAATGCTATTATATTGTTGATGATTATTAAGCAAAAGTCGTGTTTTTTGTTTATGAATAACAACAATTAGTTGAATTTTTGATAAACTATCATATTCAGATTTCTCTATACATATATACTATATCATGACACGTCTTAAATGTCATCTTTACCATATATTCCAGTCATTTAAAAAGTTTGGTTAAAATCCACAATTCTTCCGAGTTCATGTCAGATAGCACGCACGAAATGCGTTTTTCTGAAGGTTAGCGTGACCTAAGCATAATATAGAACAAACAAGAATAGTATATCACAATTGCTGTCATACGTGACCCTCGCTTGTCAGCATATTTTGTTTACTGCAAAATATTGTGTTTTATGCTTTCACAAGCGTGTTATGGAAACGGTTAATTTTGTGTCGTTAGTGTTTTCTCTCGCGGGTTTTATGACAGGTGTTAAATGGACCGTATGGTGCGTGGTGTTAGATTATATAGAAGATGTATTGTATAACGAGTACACTCGTAAATAATCAACTTTTATGTAATATGTTACTTTTGCAATAGACCCTCTAAAAGGGGGAGGGTCTATGATTTTGCATAGTAAATACACGTGTATGTTTTGTGCTCATATACCTTGCATTGAAACGCATTCTATACATATCTGGTGAAGTTGAACATTACACGAATTTGCACCAACAACATGTAGCGAAGCATATAAAAAATATCTACAAATGATTTCCGCTGTTTTTTGTGATTCCGACGTAGAATAACAAAGAAGAAAAAACATGCATATCACTAGCAATTGTCATTTACTTATTCGACGGACATATTTTTTGTTGTTGATTTGTTTGTAATATATTTTATTCTAGATTGATCACGCATCGGAATAAATAACACTGTTTTGTTTTCAATTTGTTTCATTCTTACGATTACTGTGTAATTTACGGGTATTTGCTCGAACCTTGCTAAAGGGTGTTATTTATTACTCGGGTACAATAACTGTTTTTGCCGCGTCATGTATCACCATGGTAACACACACCATGGGTGGATTGGTGGATGTTCTATAAAGTAAGACCACAGCAACTGCATAATTACATATCACCTATGAATCACAACTGCTCTTTATATTCGAACTTATAAAGTGAACCAGGAGACCTCTGTTAGGTAAGTGGTGATCTATTAAATTTACTCGTAGGAATTCTCGTTATGTTTTAATAATTATGAAAGTTATTTTATTATATTTTTTATTTTATTATATATTATATATTATATATTATATGCGTTATAAAAGGTTTTAATATACATGAGGTTACGTTTGGAGACATCCGTCTTGATCTAGTACCGGATAGAATGAAGTATATGATTAGTTGGATTTTCACACTTTCTAAACATTACCCCAGTAATCGGGGTCGTATTAGATGTGACGTTGGAGAAACTAGAATCGTAATTGTCATACAGCTTCGATAGTCTTATTATCACAACCTCCTAGTTACCTCTAAACTTGTCATCTCTCACAAACTCATATAATGTTGCTTTTTCCGTAGTTTTGAAAATCATATTCTGTCACAACCTTTCCAACAAAGTACTCGAATTGTGATTGCAATATAAAAACACTGTTTATTGATATTTGATATTATATCAAGACAAACATAATATGCAGAATTTGAAAATTTGAGTTATATTCAAATATATCTTCATTGTATAAATTGATTAAGACGTTTAGCAAATTGGAAAGTATAGCATAAAGTCGTACAAATGCATCAACATTTTGACTGGCAAATCGCAAGTTAAATGATGATTGTTATCATATATTCAAAGAATAACCAAGCCCAGGGTCGAGTATAGCACGTGAGTTTGACTAGTTTGAAGTGTACTGATTAAAATCTCGTGGTATACTCGCATCTGGTATGGTTATTTCTATTACATTATACCAACTTCATTTTAAAGGTAATTCTGAGACACGGAAATATTTTTTAAAGCATCAAAAAACATGTTCAAATGTGATACAGCTTCTGAAACGTGGTACTCGCATGTGATAAAATAAAAATGGGCCCTGGAACTAGCATGCATTGGTTATAAAACACCAAGCGGTGGCGCAAATTCGCAATCTCATTTCGGCGTTGCGAGGTTTATTCGTTTAGTTTCTTGTTAGGGGTAACGTTTGTTATATTTAAAATAATTTCGTTAATAACAAAAATATAGACGCCAACTGTCGGCGTTTGCCCGATTGCGTTTAGAGAATTGACATAACGTCTCGGTTCACGAACCAGTCCCTGCAGACGCCAATCATGTTTTGCATCGTTTGTGTAATTCTGAAAAAAATTCATGCTTCTTTTTTGTTCCCCAAAATACACGAAGGTCGCATTTTTATCCGCTACGTTCGACCACTTTTTAACAAGGAAACCCGTTGTATATCGTCTGTTTAACCATGGCTTGAAAATTTAAAAACACAATTTCTTGCTAATGGTATAATATTTACGCCATAAAAGGGCGTCGCTCCGCGTTCTGTTAGATATGGGACCCATAGCGACGCATAACACACGTTGTCTGCTCAAGTGAAATTTGAACACACGCAGTGTACAACCAACGCCATTGTATACGTATTAAGCCGAAACAAAAAATTAACATTAATATAAATATTATCATCATATGTTCAATAATGTCAAGTTGGTTTTGCAACCATGTCAGAAATAATATAAATTGAATAAAACGAACAAAAAAAAAACATATGGATCCAATAACGAAATTAATTCCCTCTTTTAAAATGGCAAAAACGTCGCGTGTTGACAGTGAAGAATACCACCGTATTTCAATTATAATAAATTCAGGCAGTACTGATTAATAGGAACAGAAGTTCATTGGCGACGAAGCAACAACAATGATTTATTCAAAACTCAGACGGTTGTGCTCTGTCTGCTCAAATTAGCACAATGTTCAGACAAATTGCACACATTCTATTATCTATTCACAAATCAGGTATTGAATTATATCTCTAACAAGTTTGTTTAAGTATTAGATTCGCATAGTATTTAAAGTATAGTAAAATGTTTGTTTGTTTGTTGGCGTTTTCGGGACACCAGTACATCAAAAGACATCAAAAGTAATAAATATATAATTATTGACTTTTGTACAGATTAATTAAAACATGAATTCAAAGATCTTGTATGCTGTGGTTGTGGTTGGAATCGCTTGGTTTGAAGCTTCTGGACAACTCGTTCCAGTAAGTATGTTTATTATTAAATTATATTACCAAATATAGAAAACCAAAAACCCCAAAACAATTTGTTACGTTTATGATAATGAATAACAGAGCACCAGAAAAAATCAATATATCAAGAAATTATGGTTAACTTTTGAGTAGTTTATTTCAAATAAATATATTTGATGTTGCATTTTCTTTGGAAATATATTCCATGGTTTACTAAATGGTGAAAATTGCTGTTTTTACAGCGAACCGAGCATAATTTGTGCAATGCAATGAAAAGCGCAATTACGCATGCACACTGTCGTTTCCATTGTTTCATCGAATGAATATTGCCATGTTTGGTGCGTTTAAAAGTTACTATAAATTATACACTACTGTTTAAATAAAAGATGCATTATCGAACAAACCTTTCTAAATATCCATATCGCTTCTGTAAAGGAAACCCTTTAGATCGGAATACATGAGATAATCCGGTACATTGGTGTCATTTAGTTTGGCCTACAACAACATTTGTATTTCACGTTTCATTGCTCAATAATTAATTTCTCGTGTATATTTCTAACTTATAATCAGCTTATCTTCTTTTGTTTTAGGTTCCGAGAATAGACGGTAAGAACATTATATACTGAATGTATAAAACACAAATGCATTACAGCGCAGTCCTTACAACGTGCACGAGTCTACACGTATCTTGTAACCTTGTATACTACAAATCATAAACTATTTACATTACTGTTTGGCATACATTGACTACATTACTGGTTAATGTCTGATTATAGATCGTCCGACATTGTAAGGTATTATGACAAATATGTAATAGGTAACATTGGTGCATGTGCTGCTCTGGTGTTTTGCGTTCTGACATTTTTTTGACAGTTAACATACCTCGAAAATTGTTGACGGCCTTGCGCCCACTAGCTCAAAAATGCAAGTTGTTCAATTGAAACACCAGTTTCTTTACACATTATTAGTAGTATATGCCAGTGTGCATAATGTTTTTCTTTAAACTGACCTGCCAAAAAGATGCACATCCCTGAAATTTATATTTATATTTCTAGACTGGGTTGAATTATTTGATTGCACTGTGCAGACAGTAGACGGAGTTCGGAGATTCGACAATTTCGCCGACAAAACAATACAGCCTCCAAATATAATCTTTGATCCAGTTTGAAACCTGTTTACATCTAAGTAACATAGGTTTATTGAAATGGATACACGTGTCACAGTGTACCAGAGATTTCAACTTGGACGATTTTGTGGTTTGTCGGACAATACTATAAATACTGTATATTATTAATGCCCACCAATTATTTGATTTTGGTTTCACCGACAAAATTGTTGAGTCAACATAGACGATAAAGTTTAAAATTTAATTGTTGAGCCTTTGTTGTGTAATAGTTCTTTTAATTCATTTCATTGTTGGTCAGATGTCCACAGAGTAGCTCGGGTTGTGAACGGGCAACCGGCATCACCAAATTCATATCCATGGCAAGCATCGCTGTTGTTGACTGTCAATGGTAACGGCGTGTTGTTCTGTGGAGGAATATTAGTTGCCATAGATTACGTGTTAACAGCCGCACATTGTGTTGACGGGTATGTATGCTCCATTTATAATATGAGGTTACTACGAGGATACCTCAAAGTATGCACGAAGACAGTACAGCGGCAGTATCGACCGACGTGCTGCGGATTTATTTATCTGATCATTAGATCAAGGGCAGGGCACATTCGGACTATGATACTATATTTAAATAATGAACTTCTTTCAATTATGTTCCTTAAAAGGAATTCAATACATCACCACATTCCACACCTACATACACAAGGAGATGGCACTATGTTTTGATACATTGCAACATTGATATTTATTTCCGACCATTTTGAACCAAATCTGAAAAGTCAAATGACGTGCATCAAGGTCTCATTATATAACAAAAACCGGCCATGCTCGTTTTTGATGCATTTTTTGGACTTGGAATGGCTGCTATTCGACCATCGGACCATGAAACAAATGCACGTACATATGTCCGTTGTCTGGTGCGTACAGACACATGCTCGGAGTTAATATTTACCAGTAATTATTATTGTTTGTTTAAAAATTAATAAATGATCATATTCATCTAACCTTTTCTCAGTCCCCACTGCTTAGCATTGCTGTTTTGTGTACACCGACTTACCTCCAATGATTCATTCGTTCGTTCGTTCATTCATTCATTCATTCATTCATTCATTCATTCATTCATTCATTCATTCATTCGTTCGTTCGTTCGTCCATTCATTCATTCATTCATTTTAATTATTCAATCATTATTCGCCTTTTTATTTGTGCAATATTTTACACAATAGTATTGTACATTGTGTATTATTCTATTCCTAGTTACACATCGAGCAATCACTTCTTTAATAAACAAAATGCGTTGTACCACGCTATTTCCTTTTAGAATAACAGCGAAGAGAGTGAAAGTTGGTCTTGGTGACCATATATTTAACGAGGAGGAAGGAACGGAGCAAATCATCAGTGTATCGCGCATAACTATAAGCTCGTCTTACGATGCTGATACGTTCGACAGTGACTATGCTCTTGTGAAGCTGAAAACTGGCGCCACGCTAAATAATTACGTGCAGATAGCAAACTTAGGAAACGTATATAAAGCAGATGGAGACTGCGTGGTGACGGGATGGGGAACTTCCGATCCGAATCGTATGTATTGCATCCCAAGGGCTTTGTTATAAGATTAATTATTCTGAGAGGGAAGATATATGTCATCGCAATAGATCATTTTCCGTTCTCTGCGAGATCACGCGTTATGGGTGAAATAGAACGCAAAAAAACATGATAAGCAAGGGTCATGGCGTCGCAGTGGCGTCAAAACGTCGCGCGGGATTCAACAAACGCGAAAGTATTTTGGAGATATTTCCACGTCTCATAATGTGCTTTAATTTTTAAGAAGTAAGAATATCTCAAAGTCATATTCTTTTCTGAATAATCGGCATTTTAACATTCAAATTCAAAATCAAATATTTCGGTTTTTGCTGCAGACGTCCACGCCTTTCACACAATATGCGAGATCTCACAGTTGAACTGAAGATTACCCATTAATTTATTTATTTATTGGTTTCAAAGTTGTTACGTAATATTACAGCAATACAATTTTGAAAATAGTAGTCGTACCTCAAGGAAGTTGTTATAGTGTGCGATCAGCTGAATACGCGCCATATATGTACTAGTACATTGATTGACACAATCCAGTGCCAATCTAAAGGACGATCATAGAAACCGTAATTCTGAGATGAAATGTTATATATCAATTCGTAATACAATCAGTAGTTTTAGAGACTGACTGTAAAATAGAATAGCAACTTTATTGACAAAAGAATTTAGATAAGCGACCCTTTTTTATACACACATTCATTGAGAGATAGCTTTTGGGAATTGCAATAGTGTTCTGTTTAGACAAGATTCTGTTTAGACAAGATTCTGATTAGACAAGATTACTTAGTCATGATATCAGTTACGTGAATTTTAATTTTATCTAATCTGAGTCGAAGAGTGTATAAATGACCGTTTTTTTTTGTAATACATCTTCTCAGTGTCGTCCATGACGCCTGTCCTACAGGAAGCAACAGTTGACGTCATGTCTAATGCTGACTGCGCCGACATTTGGCAACATGTCAGCCCTATTACAGATAACATGATGTGTGCTGGATCTACTACATCCGGGTCATGTACGGTGAGTACAATTTAATATGACCAGGATGTGAAATTACGCGGTGATTCTAGATTGGCAATTATAGTAACTATCAGGGAAAAAAAACTAATTCATGACGTAACACTCACGTAATTGATCTGAAGGTAAATATGTATATTGTGGTAATTTGGGGATCGAACAGGTTTAAATTGTCAATCGACGCAAATTCATAAACGTAAGAATACTGAGCATCTGGGCGTTATATTTTTTTTTTTACATATTTTAGTGATTCTTTGTCGTTTTACAACATTAGCACTTCCCTTCATTGGTAAAACCAGAATTAATTAATTAATGAAGTAAATGTTATATGCAATTAATTCAAATGATGTCATTTCCACCTTCAAGAATAAAAAAAATGGCATTTCATAGGTGGTTCCGAAGTTGGTAAATGACATCACTACTTTATTCGTCATGTAATTAAATATTCGTAAAGCGTTTAATTCGTACAAATAGGTAAACACGAACAGCGACAAGTGGTTTTATAAACTGTTCTGGCGTTGACATTATTTTCCAGGGGCTTTATTAAGGCAGGAATTTCGCCACGTCAAAGAAATACAGCAGCGTTTTAACGGCTCTTTATTGTCTGTGCCTGTTGTGTACATTTCACCTGTGTTCCACTCTTAGTAGCGTTGTATCCCTACGCCATTCTCGAAATTCCGAAGTTCATTATATTTTTCTTTGTATTTCCAGGGTGATAGCGGCGGGCCATTGATGTGTCTTGAAAACGGTAACTGGGTCGTACATGGCATTGTTAGCTGGGGTGCCAGTGCATGTGGAATTGACGGGGTACCGGATGTCTATACTCGTATCAGTGCAGTTTATAAAAATATTATGTCGATTACTAGCAAGGCTAGTAATAACAATGGAAACGGAAAAGGGCACAAGGGTAAACGTAGTCTAATTATCAGAAATATATTTGGTGGAGCCTAATTACGCACCAGCCTGAGGGCGTACTAGTATGCATTAGTATGTTATAAGTTTTTAGTCATTATGAGGCGTAACGGAAAAGCACGTCAACAAATATGTTGATTAAACAAAAAGGATATACTTTGTATTTGTTCTATAAATCCGTAATTGGACGAGCCTAAATTAAACTAAATCTGAACTTGAATCCGTGCCTAGGCATCCACGATACTGCTAATTCATTGACTGGTGTGATTAGTGTCATTCCGTATTTATTTATATTCTAAATGACGTAATCTATAATATCACCCATTTTGTGGGTCTTTAAATATATAATTTAGTAATTATTATTATATATCATATATTATATTATGTTATGTTATTTTTAAATATTCGGTTTTTACTTTTATTCGTTCATAATTTATTTTCAATGCATTCGTTATACCACATCATTATAATTATAGTTGTTTATGGAACATGTGTAATACTACCGTAAAACGTTAAGTTAACAAGGTGGAAGCACGTTCACATTTTAATTTGCAGTGCAGTGCTCTGTGTTTAAATGGCTGCCACATAGATTGATGTTATAAGGGCTACAATAAACATATAATAATATATTGACTGTAATTATCTTTACCCGAAAATGCTGTTATTGTAGCACTAATCTGAATATTTCCTGAATACGCATTTGATTGAGGGTCGGAATATGTTTTTCGTTTTCACATCTCTGTAATTTAAGCCTTAACTCTCCGCATTTCCTTCTTTGGAGTCATTGTGAGAGTCAATCAACTATTTTGTCTTTTATTAACGTCAAAATGGGTGGGTGGTGAAGTACGAATCGTACATTTTTATCTTTCAGTTCACTTATTGATATTCCAGTTCACGTATAGATTGTAATGTTTCTTTGATTTGAAGCTCCGAGATTATAAATAATTTATTCTAATATTTAGTATATCTTCCAAGATAACACCTAACTATCTAAATAAACTGTCTTGTTTAAGTTACAAAATTGACGTCTTCCTAACACTTCCATGAAGGAGTAACAATGACAATCTACAAACAATTATGGTGTTTCCCTGTGCTGCCTAGTTGGCGTGTAACGTGAAATATGATTAATCGTTATTTATACAAATAACTTTATAGTAACCATGTAAAATGTTGTAATTGTAATAAAAATAATTTCTGTAAGCCCATGACTATTGCTATGCATATTTGATGAGTGTGTTGTTGTGATGATGTTTGTCGCAACCATGACAACCACATCAATCAACCTGTTGAAATGTGAGGTGATGAGGATTGTTATTTCCAACTCATTAAATTTGACCCATAACATTCCAACCGAAGTTTCTCTGTAACAGTAACTACATTTAAATTAGCACAATACGTCCTACTTGTTTAATTCGTCCAAAACATACCAAACGATGTCTCGTTATAACTACAATATGGTTACAATAATTTATACTCGCTTGAAGGCAGCCGAAGTACAAAGTCATGTCCAAGACTCTTAACTCACCACCTTCTAATTTTCATTCTAGAAATGTCTATCTATTCAATCTTGAAGAATTTCTCCAAGTATTTGACGAGTATCTACCTCTGGAACAGATAAGTTATGTTTACAAATAAAAGGCAAATGAAACACTATTTTGGGGTTGAAACAAGTCTCGTGGTTCTCGCGATCTCAGCGAGATTTTGGTGGCCATTCGCGATTAAAGGTCTATTGGAACAAACACTGTGCAATAAAGTGTATGCGCTCATATTTCTCAGCTCAAATCGTTTCCCATTCCATCAGTATGTAATAAAACATTCATGTGGAGATTCTTTCCACGTAACTACCACCGTGTAAAACAGTTCCCGGGAATATCAACAGCTTTCATATAATAATAATTTTGAGAGTGGAAACATGCGTTCTCATTTTCTCGATCATTGCGTTTTAACTTCAGATGACTGGAGTCCGATCTCTGTCAGTGTAGGGGTTTGGGTTTTCGTGTAAAAAAAACACTAAATAAGTTCGATGTATGCATTTTCATGACTGGCCGCCTAATTGTTTGACCAGACTGATTATCAGCTGCTTAACGACAAGTCCGTCTGTCTGAGAAGATTTATGTACGACCTTTTCACTTTCTTCTTTGTACAGCCAAATTTAGCTCAAATAAAAAATTCAATTGTAGTACCAATCACAATGGATTTGGTTCTTTGTGAATATTTAACCAAGTTCACTTAATTCTTTAATGTTACAGACTTTGATCAAAAATTTGTGAAATGAAATACACTTTGCAATGTTGTATGCACATCCAGTAGCGAAAAAAAAAACATGGCGGCCCATGTATTTGGAAGATTGGACATGAATAACGAGAATTTGTAGAACAATAGAAAGAGGGGGGCAAGGGTTATTTTCGTTCAACGTAATTGCAATATTTTTTTTTTCGTACAACGTAAATAGAAAAAATAAATTCCGTAATTCTGTAATCACAGGCTAGACGTACAACGTAATCAATCAAATATTTTTTTCGTACACTGTAAAAATGTGTCATTTTTCTCGGTACGTACAAGAATTTACATCCAAATAAAAAAAGTCGTAAAGAATAATCCAGGGAAATTACATTTTCGAAACTCTAAAACGACTAGATGACCCATTCACCGCAAAATTCAATTTTTCACTGTAAACTGTAAAAACGTCCCGTTTTTCCTTGTAAATAGTAAAAAGTCCTTTTTATTTCCCGTGAAACTGTACCAGCTAACCTCCCTTGACCCCCTCTAGATAGATGTCTGGAAGTCACTGTCTCATTACTTTGGATGAAATCAGGAAAAATGATACTAAACTGAAATGTGACAAAGCACCAGGCTCAGATCTTATCTCTGCTCATTTTTTGTAAATAACTCAAGACATTTTGTTATTTATTTGTTACTATTTCCGCATACTTCAGTATGATATTTCTAGGAATGATGCACAGGGCTTGTATTATCTATTTTTTGTTGTTGAAAACATGAATAACGACAACCCAGTAAACTGCCACGGAAATATTTAACACTATTAGTAATATGTATACAAGTATAGCGGCAAGCAGCAACAATTGGATTGCAGCATACATGCTGTAGAAAACGTGTTGCTAATGGTTACTATGAACACATCCATTTGTCGATAAAATGAGATTATTTCATTTTCCAAGTATCAGTAAAGAAATAGTTGCAATATAAAATTAGATTTAGGCCTAGTTGACGAGGTCACGTGATCACGTTAGTTTATCCAAAAGTGCCATTATCCATGCGCACAATGTCCAGTTATGAGTAAAAGCGTAATAGTAATAGTAATAGAAAGAACTCACATTTAGACAAAAAATCTTCGTAAACTAAATTAAACTAAATTAAACTAAATGGGTGATTCCTGAGATTTTTATATACAAATTCAGTGAAATCATACAATAGAAAAAATGTTTTAGGGGAAATGTATTGCAATATACGACAACACTTCAGATGAATACAAGATCTTCAAATATTTGCCAGATTTATATTTCAGTTCTCGAGATATATCTAACTAATTACTAGTGAGACTACAATTAATTTTAAAAATACTAGATGAATCGCTCATCCTTTAGGAGAATTTCATCTCTTTGTTCCAACCGTGACGACAGTGTGTGCCAAAATCCAAGAATTCCATAAAACTACTTGAACTGATGATATGTCTCCTTAAGACTGTGCATCAATAAAAACACATTCAGAAATCTAGATCTTGTCGTTTTTGATTTACGATGGTAGGTACAAAAAAACGAAGAGAAAAATTACACAAAAAATTAGCGTAGAAACAATGGCTTGCTGGTCAGCGCATGTACAATGTGAGGGCGCTGGTTCTATACTAAGAAGTAGATTAAGCAAAAATTAAAATAAAATAGTAGATGAACAAAGTGGCTTCCAGAAAAGGACGAGTACGCTAGATAGTGTTTTCAGTTTGAATTCAATAATTCGGAATACGTCTATGGTTTAACCCGTCTTTTCTATTGTGCCTTCATTAGTTATCAAAAGTGTTTCGATGGAGTCTCCAATGCTCGCTATTTTATAAACTAAATATGAAACAAGAAGATTTTATTTGAAATCTTTGTATTCAATGTTTGGTCACATGTGTCACATTTGATAAGGCTCAGTCACTACTCCGTTGTCATTTTGTTTCAATATAAATTATATTGGAAATACTTTAAGGGACGACGTCAAAAGATCGATGTCGGATAAAAAACTTAATTTCTTTAATTTTTTTCCAACCCCCCCCTACCCCCCACTGAAACTTAATTGATAAATATTGGTCATGGC